GATGATCCAACGATGGACGACGACGGATCGGGGAGAGGAAAGTTGAACGGTCTTCGATTATTTTGTGACAAATGGTGCCTCTTCTCACAAAAAGAATCCCAGATCGGAGACGGGGAGGCTGAGACGGACCTTTTGATGTAATTTGGTGGCCATCGACCACTAGCGACGGTAGCGACTCGGCGACGAACGGCACGTCGGCCGACGAAGGTGAGTGACCAACCACCCATTGGTTTCCTAGAGAGAGGGGTGACCCTCTCTCTATAAAAATATTTAAAAAATGAAATGAAAATAAAAAAAGAAAATGTTGATATTTATAGAAAGCTTAAAGGGGAAATTGCACTTAAGTCCCCCAATATTTGGCGTGTTTTTGCAAAGTGATCACCTACGGGGACCAATTTCATAATTTAACTATTTTAATTTATGTTTTATAACTTTTGGTTTAATTGTTATTTAGTCCCTCTAACTTTAGCGTGTTTTTGCATGTTAGTCACCTTAGGGAATTTTTTGTGATTTTTCCATTTTTATGCATGTTATATATTTTTAGGGTTATTTTCAGTTTAGTCCCTGTATGTTTAGCGTGTTTTTACGTTTAGATCACTAGATTAAGTTTTTATTGTTTGTTTTGATTTAAGCTCCATATTATGTTTTAATTTATTTTGGTCATTTATATGTTTTATTTTATTTTATTTATGACACTTTGTTTGTATTTATTTTAATTTAGCCACCATTTCCTCATTTATATTTTATCATTTGATTTTGAGATCCTGATTTTACATTTGTTTCAATTTAGTCACTTCTTACTCTTGAATATGTTTTGGGTAATTATTTGGTTTTGAGCCTTGGTTTGTGATTTATTTAATTTCGGTCACTCTTTATTTGCATAAGAGATTGTTTTATACTTTATGTTTTAGGTTCCATATTAGCATTTTGTTCATTTTAGTCACCGTATTTAGTGTTTTAAAGCTTGGGGTTTATTTCCCATTAGGTCCTTACTATTCTGTTTTGTTAATAATTTAATCATTGTATAATTTGATGTTTATTTCTTTCATTTTTACCCATGAATGTATATTTATATTTGTGCGTATGTATACATTATATCATATTATATGTGTGTAGATATACTTATTTAATATTTATTAACCTTTGGATATTTATATATTATCAGTGTTTATTTTATTTGTGATCTTATTTAATTATTTTATTTTATAAAACGCCCAATTGTCAAAAAAATTTCTCTTGTACCTAATGTTAATATTTTTAAATATTTCACTCGAACGTTTTCAAGAACAATGATTTGTAGAATGGGCATGGAAAACATTACTTGATCGAAGTGGTGTAATCCAATACGACATTTGAACAAAATGTGAACTTGAAATAAAATTGATTTTATCTTGCTAATTAATTCTTTTTATTTTAAGTTGAACAACACAATGCATGTTTCTAAATAGTGATTTATTTTATGCAAAAATGTCGATTTTCCATTTATATTTGATTCATGTTTTTTTAAAATCAATGAGGAGGGAATATTCTTTTACTGATAAGAAATAGGCAACATAGATTTCCCAAAGGAGGATTACGAATTTTGAGATTTCTTTTTGAGTTAAAGAATTTTCCCTATCAGTATAAACATTCGAAACAAGTTAATCAATATTCAATAAACGGATCATATTTTAACTTTATGTTCGATTTGTAATTTCCACCATTACGACAACGTGTAAGCGATTCAGTACCAATTTTTGGGCGTTGCGGGGGTGCTTATCCTTCCCCACATGTAACCGACTCCCGGACCCGTCACATCAAATCTTTGTAATCGCAGACCAATCTTTATCTTAAAAATGATTTTTCTTAAAATTGTTTTAAAAAACGTTTTTAGGTATTCAACCTACCTAGCCCAAAGGTCGATGGCGACTCTAATTCAAATTAATTCAAAATCCCAAATTTTCAAATAAAAGTCATAATTTTTTAAAATAATATTTAATTATTTAAAAACGAGACTTAAAATTTTGTATCTAAATATAGTTAGGAAACATAATAAGTTATTCAGATTAATACACACGTCTAATTATATCTTGAACAATTCTAAACTTTATTTATATGCTATTGTACATTGTATAATAAGCTAATATATAAAGTGACATTTAAAAATTATATGAAATAATCTAAAATTTAAAATAATTTTAAAAAATAAATAAAGATTTGAACTTTATAAAATTAAATTGACCCTCAAATTCGACCAAATAACTAAATTAATTTATATATCATATCATCATGCATTGTAGACGGCCGTAAGAACACCATAAATTACCACATAAACATCGTAAATTATTACATCAATATTGTAATGATTAACGTTCGATTTCGTTAATTAAAAAGTTAAATTGATTTTTTTTCAATTTAAAGACTACATCCAATATAAAAAATTTAGTCATATTAATTTGTTATAATGTCAAAAAAATATCCTTAATGTTTGAATAAATATTCACTTTGGACTCTATTTTTTTTTGGAATATTTTAACCCTTAACGTTTCATTTTAAGGTAAAAAAATTTATCCATAAATAAAACCGCTAGTTGACAAACAATTGACATTATAAAATAAAGGTCTTTTATCTTAAAATAAAACTTTAAAAGTTAATCATAAAAATTAAAATAATTATTTAATCAAATTTTAAATATAATTTTACTAAAATAAAATATTAGATCAAAATACTCCATAAAATATGAACTAAAATAGACATTAAATACCGAGTGTTAATTTTAACATTATGCCCTATTAATTTCTCTGACAACGTTGTAGGTAGGGGCTTAGAAACCCAATCCGACCGGTTACAGAAGTCTATCTAAAGTTTGTCCCCAGTCTCTTCCCAAAACAGGTAAGTGTCTATACTCCATACTAACGCCATGGCTTCCCAACTCCTCCCTCAGGTAAATCCTTAGCCCCCATCAGCTTTTTCCTTAGCTTTCTTGATTTATCTTCAATAATTTCAATTTTGATTATATTTATAGGCACTGCATATGATCCCCATAAACCAAGCAAAGCCATTTCATCCAGTTAAGAACCTAGGGTTCTCTGCATTTCTGTCTTGTGGTCCTTCTCCGTTAACCACTTCCAAGGTTTCAGTGTCTGGGTCTCATTTGAAATTCCATTTTGTGTCCAATCTCAATTGTTTTGCTCGAAGGGATTTCATTGTGAGAGCGGAGTCTAACCCTGAAGCTGAAGCAAATGAAAATGGTGTTGAAGAACCCGAAATGAAAGCCGAAGCCGAAGTTGGAGCAGGAGAGGAGGGAGAAGGTGAGGTTGAAGAAGAGAAACCCAAAGAGCCATTTAAACCCCGGGTTAAAGGTGATATTATGGGGGTAATTTGATTCATCTTTTGCTGTTTTTTTTATGTTGATAATGCGTCTCTTTTATTCACTTATGTACAGGGATGGACCAGGGGCAGGTGGCAGCTGTCGTAGTTACTAAAATATCAAATTTCTATATATTTTAGATATTTTCTTTTTTATTGTAGGTTGGAAATATGTTTTCACCTCTTAAAATTTTATAGGTTAGTCTTTTCCTTAAAATTTTATAGGATCGTCCCCTCTAGCATAAAACCCTCCATCCCTGCTTATGTAGGAATCGAGAAAAGAATTAAACTTTTGGCATTGTGATTTCCTTTTGATATGCTTAATTTGTCTTATGAAAGATGATACCTATAACCCTTCTTTTTTGTTTACATGGTTGAGTCATTTCATAAAAAGAGCTTAACTTTGCTCAGCTAGTTTGAGAATCTTTTTTGAATACATTTGTGAATGACCGATTTTCTTTTTAATTTGATAATATAATTGCTGTTTTGCGAGTAGATACTGAATAAACAAGCAATTGAAGCGTCAGACAAGGAAAGGCCAACTCCAGATCTTAGGACTGGTGATATTGTAGAGATTAAATTGGTGATTCGAGTTTCTCGTTATCCATACTGGATTCCTTTTTATTATATGTTTTGATTGTTATTCTCATGCTTCCTTTGATTTACAGGAAGTTCCGGAAAACAAGCGTAGGCTGTCAGTGTACAAAGGTATAATCATATCAAAACAAAATGCTGGTATCCACACCACCATTCGAATTCGGAGAATTATTGCTGGCATTGGAGTTGAGATTGTATTCCCTGTGTAAGTATTTCTTTTATAATTATGCCTAATTGTTACGATGACCATATGACCATTTCCTTCATTTGGTTCAAGCACACTCGTTCATATGTTGGGCCTAATTAACCAACTAATGCATCATCTTGAATCTGAGAAAGAGAACTTGTGGGAGCTAGATTTCTGAATAATGTTCTTGAATTTATAAAAGTCGTGAAAATAAATAAGAACAGACAACGATTTTCATGATTTCACTTTTATGACTCTTTCTAGTCCTAGATTTATTTACTTTTTCCTTCTTCCTTTTTCTGTTATTGGGATGATTTTTATTGCATTTTATGAAACTTACTTTGGTAGAAGCTGAGATTAGCCTGAATGGATGACTATTAACGGTGCAGCCTAAGCATTGTCTCACCATAGTTGGCTAAAATCTTAGTTGAATTATGTTATGCATAAAGATCTTCGTGTTTACATACATTTAATTTGCATTGTTTCATCTCCTCGTATCAAAGAACGTCCTCAAACTGTTAATTGTTTACTTTTAGTGTTTCCAAACATCGTCCATGAAGTCGTACAGTTTGTTAAAATATCAGGCTTCTTTTGATGTTTTGTTGCTTGCCATGGAAGTCGAATTTCTTAAATTCGTCTTTTGCTCAAATTTTCCCTGTATATAAATCTGTAGTTTCTTATGATGATTCAGCTCACGGAATGCAGAATCATGTTTGTTGATCCATGTTTTATCATTTCTTAATTTATAACTGCAGTTACTCGCCAAACATAAAGGAGATTAAAGTCGTCAAACGCCGAAAAGTGAGGAGGGCGAGGCTGTATTATCTAAGAGATAAGGTTCCCAGGTTGTCAACTTTCAAATGAGAGATTCTCCCTAAAATTCCAGGCAGTTTCTTAGCTGCATACATGTTGTAAGAGCTTTAATTCTATGAACCTGTCTCTTTTCCTTTTAGTGTAAGATTTTGTCGAAAGCTTCGAGTTGATTTCGGAAAATGAATCCATATCTTCAATTATCTACTGAATCATTTCAATCTGCTACTTGTTAATACACTTAACTAGCCGTAAAGCAATGCTTCTTTCTTTAGTTATTTGCTTTGTCCATATCATCAGCAGGAAAGAGAAAGCATTGGTTCAAAACAATGTTTTTCCTCGTCTCAATTGCAACATAAATACTTATCTTCCACTTCAGTTTCTTAATGGAGTGTTGGATATAAATACTTGTATAAAGCCTCATTCAGAATATCTAGATTGTCGCTTAAAAACGCACACCTATGTAGACGTAGCCGCACGGAGGTGTTTTTGTTTACACAAATTTGTCCTTTGTAGAGATAGGAGTGGTTTTAGTTTAGCCTTTGAAAAATTAGAGAATTATAAAAGTTGTTCTTAAGCCTTGAAAAAGATACTAATTTGTTAGAAATTCTTAGTGTGAAGCTAAGGTAGTGGATGTAGACTTCATTGAAGAAATTGAACCACTCTAAATCTCTGTCTTATTGTGTATCTTTTTACTTTCACACCTAAATTTTTCAAAAGGTCAATTCACCATCTCTTGGTATTTTTTCAAGTGATCCATAAAACCTCAAATACCCTAACAACTTCTAAAAAGTAGCTTTGATTTTGTATTAATTCAATTTTATAATATAAATATTGTAAAAATATAGTAAGATTAAACTACAAATAGTAATTTCATAAAATTTATATAATCATATTTTTATTTTTTATTTAAAAATTATTCTATACATACATACTAAAATATAATTATTATACTATTATATAATATCTATACATATAAAAATATAATATTAAAATTTACCACATCTTTAATATTATAAATGTTTAAATGTTATGCTATAATCTTTTCTTATTTTATAATATTATTTATATTTTATAATATTTATTATAATATTATTTTTTATCATACTTATATATTTTTATTATATATATCATTAAACGCTGTCCATGAAAATTGCTCAATGCTTTGATAAAAATAAAAAATAAATTAAAAATTTCAGAATAGGATTTCAGTAGTAGTAAAAGTCAATCACATTGCTATACTGTTCCAACAATCAAGTACATTATTTTATGATTGAGATTTAATTTATTTTATGTTAGAATCAGATTTAAGTTCTATTAGTGTTTCATAAATTTATAATTTAATATTGAAAACATAACAAAAAATAAATTTATAATTAATATTATAAGGATAAAAAGTTATAACATAACAATATTATAAACAAAAAAATTATGAATTTGATTACGATATAAAATTATATTTTTGGTGTCCTTATTTTTAAAGGAATATTACACTTAATTTTATTATTGTGATTTAATTTTAAAAAATTCAAAGGGTTGTAGGTTAAATTTGTAAAATTTAGGATATTTTCAATGAAAAATATATCATATTCGCGTTCATGAAGCTGAAAAGAAGTGAACTACAAATTTTAGGGGTCCAAAGATTGGCAACTACAGCTGCCAATGGTGACTAACAACGAGCGATTGGCGACATAAGATTTTGATCGAATTCTTGAGTCAAATTAATATTTTATCTAAAATATAGGGTCAAAATTATACTTCATCTAAAATTGGATCTAATTAAAAAAATTACTTCTTTCACTAATGTGTTACATTGTCAAAAAAATTAGAATAAACATTTAAGTAAATAAAATGTAACAATCAATAATATAAGTAATCAAAATTTAATAAATTTATAAGGTAAATGATCGAAATGTAATATTTTCAAAACTTAAAGGAAAGTAATTATCTCATTAGTTTACCCATAATTTATTGAACAAACTTATAAGTTTTTACATATATAAATTATAGGGTAAATTAAATGTTTAGTATCTAAACTATTATTTTTGTTTTGTTTTGATATTCAAATTTTTATTTTTTTAAAATCATACCTAATGTTTAGTTTAGATTTCATTTTGGTACACTGTCGTTAAAATCTTAACAATGATATGTGTCACCATAAGATAATGACATGTAATCATTGAATTTTTTTAAAAAAAATATTACAGCATCAGTTCTATTAATTTTTAAACGATATGATATCAAATTGAAACTTAAACTAAATATCTATTTAAAACATTATACTAAATTATACTTTGTATCAAAGGCCAGTCATGTTACGTCATTGAACGGTCAAAATCAAACCAATAAAAAAGGCGGGAAACATATTAAACAAAACAAAATAAAACTTAAGAGAGAGAGAGAGAGAGAGAAAGCAGTCGGTACCATCATTTTAAAGGGGATTCGTTCTTCTCATTCAGATCAACGAGACTCAAAGAAGATGATATATGAGAACCGGACGGCGAACCCTTCCGGTTGCATAATGGAGGAGGTATGCCACGTGTCATCTTCAGAAGAGTCCCGCTTGCTTCGCTACTCTTCTTTTTGTGCCTTGGGATTTTGATGTCTCCAACTCAGGCTGGTGGAATCCGGCCGATATCACCAAGAGACAAACTATCAAATTACCCCCGAAGATCAGCTAATCTTCCACTCCAGATAGCAGTTCCTTATCGGAATAGCGGCTGTTGTATAACCGTATGAAATTATTATTTCACAGCTGGTATACCCGCAAACACAACTGCAATCGCAATTTAAATTCATCCTCCACCTCCTTCGACAACAACAGTAATGGCAAATTCGAATTCCAATTGAACGTTCCCGAAGACGATTTCCCAAGTTTATCATCTGATTATCCCCCTCCGAAAGATTGAAAATTTTCGGATTATGAATCTGTGAGTATAGATTTGGAAAGGGAGGCCAATGAATTATTTAAATCTTTAACGAAATGGAGTTTGAAGAATGATGGTGTGGTTCCAGAATTAGATCTTGAAAATCAACAAAATCGTGAGTTGGATGAAAGCTCGCAACCGGAACATCAACACAGCAGGACACTAATTGACGCACCAGATTCGCCGAATCACTTTCAACAATCACATTAGACGCAGACAGTTTCCGAGGCTAGCCCGATACCAGAGGTGATGGCTTTGGCTTTCACAATACTACCATCCATGGCATTGAAGATTGGAAGTGCATTACCAGAGATCACAACCCCCATTATTATCACCAGCACGAACACCAGTTGAAGCCGTTGGAGGATCCATTAACATTAACTATAATAGATTTAGGAGGGTTGCACCATCCAAGGTAGGGATTTAAATTACGGTTGTTGTTGTGTTTATCATGATTGCGACAATAGCAAATGTTATTATTATCACTGCGAATATCATAGTCGTACAATAATGATTTCTGACGAAACCTTTATCATTATATGACAACCGCTATTTTAATAATGAACCGTTATTTAAATCCCTAATTTAGGATCTTTATTCCCCCGTACTACACCTAAACCACATGTAATCCACTCAAAATCTTTATGTACATTTGGATTCACGGTTTCTAAAGATGCCAACTAAACTGGAATTCAATCAGTATAATGTCAAAAATAACCTCAACGATTATCAAAATTATTACTTTAGTTCGTATTCTTTTTATTTAGAACATTTTAACTTATAACGTTTTAAATTTTCTATAAGAATAACATGAACATTTTAGCTTATAACATTTTAATTTTTGGTAAGAATGACTCATATTAGATGAAAATTATTAGCTAACGAACAATTAATACACCTGATGTAATATTTTCATATACTTAATTACTAACACAACACATTATGTCATCAATTTAAGTGATGTGACATATCATATCATCACCTTAAATGAAGTACACATGTAAGAATATTACATCAACAACGGTTTATCAATTAATAATTTTCATCCAACAAATGACATTTTGACAAAAATTGAAATGTTATGAGCTAAGGTATTCTAAAAATAATAATAAAGACTAAAATGATCATTGTAATAAACTTTAGAATCTAATTTTATTCTTATGCCCGAATAACCACTTATCTAATGAATTTATCTTATGGATTTTTGAAATGGTTCATGATTATCTCTGATGTACATCATCTCATTTCTGCATAACTATGAGCTAGGCATGCAATACCATAAAAAGGTTGAAGGCATGCAACCACTAACATCTCCAAGCATGCTTGAATATTGAGAGTTTTTCCAACAATCTATTGATAAGGTACTTAAACTTTTAATATAAGATGGAGATAGAGATGCCATCAATCAAATGATATATGAAGGAATAAAAAAAGGCACTAACAAAGGCTAAATGGCAACTCTTCAGCATGCATCCCTTAAAAGTCATTTTCATAACCCTTTTATTCTACATTTTCATACAAAACTCTGGAAATTATTACCTCTTCTGCATTTTTTGAGATCTATATTACTTCAACCCATACAAAATTCAAGTTTGATAGGGTCAAGTGGAAAGAAAGAGCAACCATCAAACCTCATTCACAGACTTCGGTCTCTGTCATGCAAAATATGTCGACCCCGTTCATGGGATCTTGCAGAAGGAGCATAACATTTATAGTTCTAGTAATTAAACAACCCACTACTAGGGATGGACAAGATGCGAGTGTGCCGAGTTACTGCTAGTGCTTGCGTGCTGCCCGAAACTTGAAGTAGGATGAAGCAGTTCTGCCTGTGGGAATGAGCCATTGGGTGGCACATCCAGCAGCAAATCTTGGTCTGAGCATTCATCAACAAAACTGAGAGAGTCCAGCACCAGCGAGCTGCCATCGGGAGGCAATGCAAACAGGCTTCTCGGGCTAAAGCAAGAACCATCATTGTCTATGAGTTCCTTGTTTTCATATGCAGCCTTCATGATCCCTCTTTTTGGACTCTTTAAAGTCCTTGCTTCTGAAAAACGAAAAACAAGTTCTTTCTTGAGAAAAATGCCAGTGTAGCTAATAATTCAAACAGCTCACAGGATTGACACTTGACTTAAAGATTAAATTTTTTTTAGCTACAGAGAAAAAACTTCTTCATAATGTTTCATGTTTGCAAATTTATTTCTTT